AAAAAGAAAGACGTTGGCCCCATTTCTATCATTCGTGCAACTCTCTTCTACCCTGCGTGGCCCCGCTTGTTGCTTCAATCACCGTCCTCACCTTTTCCCTATTATATATCTTCCACTTTTCCCCATTTCTCCCAAAATTTAGACCCACCAAAGATTCCCATTTCCCTCTGTTTTTGATGGGGAATTACAGATTTAGATTTTCAGACATGATCCCCAATGCCTGGTTCTACAAGCTCAAAGACATGGGCAGAACCAGAAACCATTTCAACAAGACCAAGAAACACCAACAGACAGAGCCACCAAAACCAAAGCAACCCCACCACCAGGGTTCTTATCCCAGAAAGTCCTACTATTTCTCCAGGGACCTTGTTTCCCACGACAGATTCTGCAATTCTCCCAAATCCACAGACCCACCAAGGAAATCTTCCAGAAGGATAAGATCCCGGAAGGTAGCAGCTGCCAGGGCTTCCCCAAAGCTCGTCGCCTCCCCTGTCTACCCGGGTTGCAGCTGCCGGGCGACACTCTGGAGTAAACCTGACGATTCTCCGCCGCCAGAGTACTCTGCTTCTTATTCTTCTGATGGGTCTTTGGGGCTGGAGATTGGCGAATCTTTTCCGCCGGAATTTAGGACGGACCGTATTCTGACTACTGAATCGTTCGACGACATGGTCGCCTGGTCCCGTTCCGACGCCAAAGATATCGTTATCGATGTGCAAGAGATTGAGCTTCCTCCAATCATTACCAAACCGGAGAAACTCAACGATTATGTGAAGGATTTGAAGAAGAAAGATCAGAAGGAAGACGAAACCACCAACTACCATCGGAGTTCGCTCTCCGTCAAGGTGATGAAGGCAGAGAGAATCACAATGAAAGAACAACGGAACACCACCCCTGTTAGAAAATTGTCATCAAATTCTCCTGGGGTTAAGCTCAGGATCAATTCTCCCAGAATTGCCAGCCGGAAAATCCAAGCACATGCTCGGAAAAGTGTTTCATCAACCTCAAGCTCAGGTTCCCGGCGAAGCCTGTCGGATAGTCTGGCGGTGGTGAAGTCGTCGTTCGATCCCCAGAGAGACTTCAGGGAATCAATGGTGGAAATGATTGTGCAGAACAACATCAGGGCATCCAAGGACTTGGAAGATTTGCTTGCTTGTTACCTTACCTTGAATTCCGATGAATATCATGATCTTATTATCAGGGTTTTCAAACAAATCTGGTTTGATTTGAGTGATCAAGCCCAGTTGAAGTTGTGATTTTGTTTAAATTTCTCTGAAATGTAAATCTTTTCTTCTGTTCTATACTTTTATTATAAATAATTTTGTGTTCTTAATCTTTTATTTATTTATTTATTTTTGAATAATTGTAATGTAATTTGAGAACTTGATATATGTCTCAAGAGACGATAACATTGTCCTTAACGATTAGACTAATCCCTTAGTCACGAGCAAGATTTTTACTGTTAAATAGAAACACAGAATCCACGAAGATTTGTATCATTTATTGGTTGACATGATCTAATGGAGACTTTGCACCTGATCTGCTTTTTTTTTTTTTGAAAGGTTTTGATATCCAACGTCATATTATTTCATCAAACGTTATATATAAATATATACATAGGTTTTGATATTGAATCAAGAACTCTTACTAAAAAATATTAATATATGAAAGTGGTATATGAAAGTGATGGCACAAAAATAAAATTAATCCTTAAAATTGGAAAAAAAAATAAAAATAAAAAGGAAGCTCCTGTTGTGCTCCTTTTTTTTTATACCCGCAAGTTCAGTTGAATTCACGCAAGAAAAAAAAAGTATTGATGATGTTTTCGGAAAATGACAATTGGAGAAAACAAGGCATGCAGTGGCTGAAGCCAAGGGCAAAAAGCAATAATAAACGGATTTTATGTTTTTCTGACAGTAAAGGCCAATTTTGCTTTGTTTCTTTGTTATGTACTTAATAAAACAAAATCTTTTCCTTTTTTAAGTTTCCTCATATTGAACTCAAACCTCTATAATTATTTAGTGGTTTTGCTGTTCCTTGTAGTCCTATATAGTCCTTATATCATCATAAGGATAGAGATTTTTTTTTTTTCCTATGAGATGCTAGCTCACCCCAACTCTTATCATCTCGAAAAATTGTAATTGTGAAAAATATATAAATATTAAGATCAACCTGTTACCCACTGCCAATGGTGGAATCAGAGAGAGATGGAAGGTAGGGTTTTTTCTTTCCAATCCTAATTGTAAACTTTTTTTTTTTTTTTGTCTATACAATAAAATTTAGGGTATGACTTTTAACATTCTTTTTTCTTTTACAATCTTAATTTATGTCTCTTTATTTCTAATTTTTTTAAATTTAAGGGAGGGTTCATACCCATTTTCCTTCTCATGTAGTTCCGTCACTATCTACTATCATTTAATAAATTGAGTTTAAACTTTTGTAGGACACTAATTTCAACAAGAAAATTTTGTTAGATTAATGAAGGCTAAACTAGGGCCACCTGAATATGAGTTTCCCATAATAATGCAAAAGTAAAATGGACTGACATTCTATTCCAGTATCAACTTTAGGTGTTTTTTTTTTTTTTTTTCTTTTGCCCTTCAAGAGAATGTGACATCCTTTTAGTTTCCTTTTCCAGAACTTTGATGCTATCGCTGGGCAGTATGTTCAGCTTTCCCACATTTAGAGAGTACGAGCTAGTAATGAAGAGGCAAAAATTCAAAATTTTCAAACGTGAAAGAAATTTAAACAGCACATAACAATCTTAAAAATAAATTCAAATTTTTGCACAATGTGGAAGAAAGCTCAAAAGCTTTGTTCCAATGTGTACTATTGCAAAGAAACTTTAGAACTTATTAAAATAGCTTTGGCTAAAGGTAAAAGTTACATCGATAATTACAAAAGTTGTTTACAATTTCAACCCAAAATTACAGCTTAAACCGACAGGATTAGGTCCTTTCTATTTTTTTTTCTTCATACATTGACTTGTGAAAGATTACAGAATCTCTGTTTTCCCTATGATAAAACTCATTTTTAATGATATAATAATTATAATATTATGTAATATTTTAAATTTATAATTATAATAAATATATATAATTTATAAGTAAATTTTTAAATAAAAAATTTAATTATATTATTATATATTATAATTATAATTTTACAATACCACATAATATTATAATTATATAATTTTTGTTTTTCGCTTAACCTCGATTAATATCTAAAAATATTTATTTAAAAAATTAGGCCTTTCTCCTTTTTGTAAAGTTTCAAAATTTAGGGATTATTATTATTATTATTAAAAAATAACCTTATCAAAAAATCCCCTTTAAAAAAAGCGTTCAGTAAAAAAAAAAAAAAAAGAGAAGGGAATTCAAGTCAATATCAAACCCTCTTTAATCTCGAAGCAATAAGTCTAGGAGATAAAACCATCTGAACTTTTTCACATAAGCTTGAGCCTCGGAGAATCCATATTATTATACAAAACAAGGGAACCATTGATTGCTGGGTAAAGAAACATGAACAAAATATTCCCTTTAATCTCCTGTATCTGACTACAAAATAGAGTAATTATATATCCATTGATTATTGGGTAAAGAAACATGAACAAAATATTCCCTTTTCACATTTTCTTCTTCTCTGATCTGTTGTTATATCTTCGCAACATTGGTTGAGAAAAACCACAGAGTATTTGAAGAAAAATGGAGAGGAAGCTGACCATGTCTACAATTTTGGTTATTAAGAAAAATAGTAGAGAATACAAAAAAAAAAAAAAAGGAAAAGAAAAAAAGAAATCACTATGGTGAAATCATAAAACAAACCTGGGTGTGGTAATGGACTTGATTTTTAGACATAAAAGCATAGAAAATGGCTTTGCCTGTGGCGAGGAGGAAGATATAGACCAAATGTAGGGATGGAGGGTTGGGCTTGGTCAAGTTGTAACGCTTACTTCAAATGACAACGATAGATCAAGGTGGAGATCTTGATTAATCTTTCTGTAGGAGAAGCTCAAGTATCATATAAGACTTCTCACACATTTTGTATATCCAATTAAGTAATTTTACTAGGTTTGTTTGATCTCCTATAATAATTACTTATATAATTTCTACTAATTAATGCATCTTTATATTTAATTATTTATATATATCATAGATAAAATTACTTGTTACTAGTATTATAAGTCTAATTTGCGCTTTGTTATACCTATAGTAAAGCAAAATTCATTGAGATTTTTATGTAATTTTTTATTATTAATAAATTTATTTTTTTAATAAAAAAAGCATAGAGAGTGGGGAAGTGGTGTATATCGGAATAAACCAATGCCTATAACTACCGAACCAAAAATTTTGGTTAGTAAAATTGAAATATTGACAATTGTAAGTGTTCGATTATTGACATTTTTTTTTATTTTGGTTACACAATTGGAAACAACCATCTCTCATATCTTATCTTACCTCATTCGCATGTCATGCGACTCAAACTTAGAACCTTTTACTTTCGATAAAAAAAAATAACCACTGAATTATTTAAATCATTGGTTTGATTATTGATATTAATAACATATGAAAAGATTAATATGCCCTCAAACATAAATCTTTTAGCCAAATGTGCAAATTGCTCCTAAATACTTTTAAGTTGAAATAAATTAATATTTTTAATAAAAAATTAAAGTAAATTACGATCTTAAAATTTCATTGTGGAAAAATTGGTCCAATATTGACCACTGACCACATCATTTTATTAAATTTTAACAACTATCATTTAACATATTATACCTAAAATTGAGTACTATGTCTAGGATACATGGATCCACCCTAGAAGAGTTCTTCAAAGACTAGTACTAAACTAAAAACTCTAAGACAAGGGGAATCCTAGCCAGGTCTTGTGAGAAACTTTCGCGGATCAGACCTATCGGTAGCAAGGGTTCCACGAGGATTAGAATACTTGATATCTTATCATATAGAGACCTATGATAATTTTATGTAATCTATTAGTATAAAGACCTCAGTTTAGACTTAGAGGGAAATCTTCTGAGTCTTTTAAGGATCTTCTATTTTATATTTTATTTTCTGTCTTCTCTTTAGTTCTGCCAATCATTGTAAATTTTTTTTCTTTATCATCATTAAAAAAAATTAGTTGTAGTCTATTTTTTAGTGTTAACATAACAAAAAAAGATAATTGTGTTGACGTGGACTGATGTATTTAGGTCAATTTCTTTAAAATAAAAATTTAATATGACAATTTATTTTATTTTCTTAGTGTTAATAGATTTCAACTCAAAAATATTAAAGGAAAATTTGTACCTTTGACCTAAATTGATAAGGATATATTTGTATAATACTTTGTTATATATTGTATAGAAAATTGTGCATAAAAACATTGTGCTAATAACATTATTGAAATGAACAAGAGTATTCTTTATACTCTAAAGTAATAATTTTTTTTATTTATAAAAAAATAGTATTATTGTAAAATGAACCACTAGGGAGTAAATGAGTCAAGTCAAGTTTTTGAAACTCGAACTCAAACTTAATATTACAGCACTAAGCTGAATTGAGTTTGAATTAAGATATATTGAGCTTAAATTCAACCTGTAAGTTCAATTTGTAAACTCAAACTTAATTTACAAACTTGATTTATTATTTGAGTTTAATATAAATTTTAAATTAAAATTTTAAATATTTAATATATGTAATTATTTTTAAAAAACAATTGAGTTAAGTTGAGTTAAATTAAATTTTGAGTTAATTTAAACTCAACTCAATTTTTTAACTTCAGATTTAAACTCAAACTCAAAATCAAGTTGAGTCAAACTCAACTCAAATTAGAGTCAAGTAACTCAAAATTAACTCAACTCACTTATGGTCCTAAAACTATTGAAAATGGGTGTGCTTAATAAATAAGCTGATTTTAACTATTTAAGTAACAAATATCAATTATTTTTAATAATAAAATTAAATAAAATTCATAATTTTAAATTTGTGACTTAACAAAAAAAAAAAAAAAAAAACTAAATTGATGTGCAGTAATCTCCATGTGCACTGAAAATTTATGTAAGCGTGAATGGTACTCTTTCACCTTTTTTTTGGGCTGCAACGAAAATGATACTTTGGAATGCGTACTTTGGACAATAAACAGTAAAAAAAAAACATGGTAAGAGTAAAGTAGAACGAAATTGGTGGGATTTCGGGAGGGTGTCTGCCAGTAGAACGGGAAGAAAAATCAAAGAACAGAAAATGGAAGTTAGAGTGAATAGTGAATAATGCCGACCAACATGAAAGCCGGAGATTCTGGGTTTCGATATGATGTTGAAATTTCATGTCTTTGTCTTCTACCCTAAAATGCGAGGACTAGGAAAGCTACCTGCCTCCTTTC